TTCTTCTTCTTCCTCCTCTCAGTCCCTCATCTCTTTCTCACCCTCTCGCTATCTGACTTCTCGGCATCAGCAGACTACGAGCGAGAGAGAGACACTGGTGACTTTGGGGATGTTGACGACATTGGGATACAGACTCGACTTTGGGATCGAGACATTGACAAAGGACTATTTGGGATCGATACCAGGGACACTTGTGTGACGGCATTCCCATCTTCTCCCTCATCTTCGTCTAATCCCCCTCCTCTTCGTCTGTGGATGTTTGGGGCTGGCACATTCTTCCTGTGTGAGCGCCAGGCCCCTTCACAACTTGTAACGATGATGATTTATGTTTAGTCTGCATTGCTACATTGATTGGGTTGATCATTGGCATCGTAGCATTCCGCTGCGCTATCTTGTACTATGTGAGGGAGGTCGGTCCTTCTTCTGGTTTGCACCATTACGGTATGCAACAGTTTGGTATCTCCCTCTCCTCTCACATGTGTGAATTATGATGGGATGTCGTGTCAGTCCTGGTCAGGTCGGGACTTATATCCAAGTCTTCCACTGCGCTACAAAGTGCCATTTTGTATGTATCAGGATGTACACTCCTTGTTGAGATTCCACTAACACTGCATTGTCCATTCAGTCCTTTTCATCACCTTGCGGATCCTTGGCTGTACATACATTGCCCAACTGGGCATGTAGCACCTGCCCTCTTGAACATGGAAAACACATCCCATGTTCTTTTCCTCCTCCTTGTGCTGCTTGTGCTCTTTTCCCTCTATTCTTGTTCTCCTCCCCTTCCCACCCAGTGGTCCCTTCTCCTCATACCCAACTGAACAGGTGGTCATAGAAGGCAAATGCAGGTAGTCATTGAAGATAAAGGTCTGATTCTGTGTGCTTTCGGGAAGGCGCAATCCTGGATCTTGAAGTTTTAGGTAGTTTTGGAGGTGTTTTCCTTCCCCTGCCCTGATTGTTAATTTGGTTTTCGCCACTTTTTGGTGGTATTTTTGCAGGCTGGAGATGGAAAGGGTGGCTGGTGTTGTAAAAGACCTTTGGACCCAGATAGACCAGAGACAGTTCATGGTTCAGGAGTTTGGGTTTGACAATCTCGTGACTGTAATATATGAGGTAAACCCACTAGCATGGCATTTTTCGGCTCTCTCGTTGTTTCCCTGGTCCTTTCCCCTTTTTGTTCCCCAAGTCATTGATCACTGATAACAATGATAAAGAGAAAATTATGCTTGCTATGATTGTTGGCAACCTGCTAGCGAATGATAGTGTCTTCAAAGGGGCACGGAAATGTGTTAGGAGGCCATACAGACCCCTCCAGAGATAGAATGAGCCATCACGTACACAGATCTGTAGAAAAAAACAACAGTAGTTGTGGATAGGGAGATAGTCCATGCCATAGAGATTGTCCCAGGAAGTAAAGTGCCCAAAGGCAGGATCTATCGGATGTCTCTAGTGGTGTTCAATGAGCTTCGTAAGCAACTCAGGGAACTGACAGATAAGGGTTGGATTAGGCCCAGTGCTTCGCCGTACAGTGCACCAGTTCTGTTGGTTCGAAAGAAAGGGGTTAAGGATGTGGATTGCTTTATGGGGCCTCAATGCCATCACTGTGCGTAATGCAGAGCTGCTACTGCACATCGATGACCTCTTGGACAGAGTGCAGTGATGTAAGTACTTCAGGGAGATAGATCTGAAGTTTGGGTCCCACCAGATACAGATAAGACCCGAGGATCAGCACAAGACTGCATTTAAGATGAGATATGGACCGTATGAGTTTGTGGTGATGTCGTTTGGGCTCTGTTATGCACCTGGTACGTTCTGGCACGCTTTGAATAGGATATTTCACGACTAATTAGATCTACATCTACAATAATATAAGAACCGCTAACGTCATATCGCACGGCCCAGATTGTGGGCCGGTCACCACCCGCGGACGGCCCAGATCGCCGGCCAATGAGAAACTTTTCTCATTGGCCTGCGATCTGGGCCGTCCGCGGGTGGTGACCGGCCCGCAATCTGGGCCGTGCGATACCGGTTCGCCCTTTCTGAACGCGCGCCCGCGCCCAGCCCTTAAATCGCCCTTCGAAGGGGCGGGCTTCTTATTTGTCTCGGCCACCCCTCTCAATTGTCTCGGCCGCCACGACACACGACGGCACACTACGGCAAGCGACGGCAAGCAACGGCACGCGACGACACGCGACGGCAAGCGAAGGCACGCGACGCACGTGACGGCACACAACGTGCTCTCTCTCTCTCTCTCTCTCTCTCTCTCTCTCTCCCCCTCTCTCTCTCTCTCTCTCTCTCTCTCTCTCTCTCCCCCTCTCTCTCTCTCTCTCTCTGTGACTGTGCTCTTTGGTGTCCGGTGCTCATCTTGGATACGTGCTTTTCGTCACGTGCTGATCGTGGATCCGTGCTTTGGTGCATGATCACGTGCTGATAGCGGATCCGTGCTTTTCTTTGGTGCATGATCACGTGCTCATCGGCGATCCGTGCTTTTGGTGCTCGGTGCTCATCGTGGATACGTGCTTTCTGTGCTCATCGTGGATCCGTGCTTTTCTTTGGTGCATGATCATGTGCTCATCGTCGATCCGTGGTTTTGTGCTCATCGTCAATCCGTGCTTTTCGTGCTCATTGTCGATCCGTGCTTTCCGTGTTTTTCGTGCTCATCGTCGATCCGTGCTTTTCGTGCTCATCGTCGACCCGTGTTTTTCGTGCTCGGTGCTCATTGTGGATACGTGCTCATGGATCCGTGCTTTTCGTGCTCGGTGCTCATCATGGATCCGTGCTTTTCTTTGGTGCATGATCACGTGCTCATCGTCGATCCGTGCTTTTCGTGCTCATCGTCCATCCGTGCTTTTGGTGCTCGGTGCTCATCGTGGATACGTACTCATCGTGGATTCGTGCTCATTGGGGATCCGTGCTTTTCTTTGGTGCTCGGTGCTCATCATTGATCGGTGCTTTTCGTGCTGATCGTGGATACATGCTTTTCGTGCTCGGTGCTTTTTTTTGGTGCTCGGTGCTCATCATTGATCCGTGCTTTTCGTGCTCATCGTGGATACATGCTTTTCGTGCTCGGTGCTCATCGTGGATCCGTGCTCATCGTGAATCCGTTCTCTCTCTCTCTCTCTCTCTCTCTCTCTCTCTCTCTCTCTCTCTCTCTCTCTCTCTCTCT